AAAGAAAAAATACCTATTTATAATAGTATTTATACAGTTTATATACTTTATAAATTATAATAATGTAAGATATGTAAATGATACACAAGAAAAGATCGTTAATTTTGTAAGCCCATTATATATAATTTAATGAATTAAACACAAATTAATTTATATATTTGCATGTACATCATAATATATACGCATGCTTTTGCAAATAATAAGAAATTAATATAATATTTCAGAACAAGTTAAACTACATGTTAAGAGGTCTTCTCTCGAAAATAAAATACAAAGAAAGCTCTGAGGAGGACGAATTTACTAAATGTTTAAGACATGAAGCTATTAAATGGGCATGTATTCTCGGCAACACCATCTGTCAGAGAAAAGCTTACTATAAATTGTTAAAGCATATTGGAAAACTGAAAAACAATAAGTAATTTTTCTTAACGTTACTGTTTTTCTATATTTTTTTTACATCTTCCTTAACGAAACATGCACTTTAAAACGTCTTCAAATAATATACATATATTTATTGCATTTTTAATAAATCAAAAACTTTTTATTAAATATGTATGTGCCGCGGAAGAAAGGTAAAATATTTTAACTTTAAAAGATTAAATACAAAATTATCAATTCTTACATAAATATTTTAACTTATCATGATATATTTACTATAAAAAAAGTGCAGTGCAATATATTAAAACTATGTCAAAATTCACAATTTAATAACACCATAATGGTAAATAATCACGACTTACTGACGTGCATAATATCATTTAGGGTTTAGTGCAACATGACGTTAGAGAGAAATAAAAATAAAAATTCGAAAATAGAATTATAAAAGTCCGTAGAAAATCCTTCTAGCGAAATTATATACATTGATACCGTAATTTTCATAAAATCATCTATATTGCGTAACTTTTATTTCAGATTCTTTTTGCGCGACATATATACACAACTATTCTTACATTATCCTATATAGTACCTATAACCAGTTTATGGCCGTATGGCGAGTATTCGCCGAAGCCAACCCTATACCTAAGCAAGCAACAAGATGTATCGGCAAGTGTTACTCCAATCACATCAAAGAGATTTACAAAGAATCCTGTGGAGGTCACCGTCTGGAGAAATCCAATCATTTCGTTTAAACACGATCACGTATGGTCTAGCTAGCGCACCATTCAGTGCAATAAGATGTTTACATCAATTAGCCGAAGAACATAAACTTACGTTGCCTCAAGCACATTCAATAATTTTACGAGATTTCTACGTCGACGATTTGATAAGCGGCGATGATGACGCCGAGCAATTAAAAACGTTAATAAAGAACATCACAAAGATTTTGCAAAACGGAGGATTTGAATTACATAAATGGAATTCAAACGATATATTGATACTTAATGACCACAATGATGAAGACACAGAATCGGTGTCCTTTGACCAAGAAGTCAACACCTTGGGTCTCATATAATATCATAGAATACCAAATTAGATGTATTTCAATATCGTGTTAATATAGAAACTTCATCTTCAAGAATAACGAAAAGGAGCATATTATCGGTTATTTCACGGATCTACGACCCACTCGGTTTAATTGGGCCAATTATTATTCAATCGAAACTTCTCCTTCAAGACTTGTGGAGATTAAAGATCGGATGAGACGATACTGTTCCAACGGAATTACAATCAAGATGGTCATACTTTTGAGACCAATTACAGTGCATTTCCAAAATCTCCGCCCCTAGACATGCATTGAGCAAGAAGTATAAGAAGATAGAAATGCATGGTTTCTGTGATGCAGCAGAATTAGCTTATGGTGCGTGCATTTATATCAAGACAATAAACGAATTCGAACACGCAACCATTAACCTATTATGTGCGAAATCAAAGGTAGCACCATTGAAAAACATCTCCCTACCGAGATTGGAACTTTGCACAGCATTGCTGTTAGCACAATTATATCAGCAAGTGATACAAGCACTGACGATTTCACCGATGTCGACGTATTTCTGGAGCGATTCCACTATTGCTCTGGCTTGGATAAGAGGTGAACCATCGAGATGGGTACCGTTTGTCGCAAATAGAGTCACCGAAATACAACAATTGACCGAACAAACAAAATGGGGTCATGTCAATTCTAAAGACAATCCAGCGGACATTATATCGAGAGGCATGCATCCTAGTCAATTGGAAACCAGTTCTCTGTGGTGGAATGGACCAGAGTGGTTGAGAACGGGAGAGTGGCCATCATGCGACAGAGGAATCGAACTTGACGAAAACTTGCTTGAAGAGCGAAACCATACGAAAACATTTCATATTCAAGCAAACGTAAACGACGAGTTGTTCTTGAGATATTCTTCCTTATCAAAACTAAAACGCGTAATTGCATATTGTTTAAGATTTAAGGAGAACACGCTGCATTCTGAGTCGAGGATTACAGGTTCGTTAACTGTAATGGAATTGGAACGTGCAATGACGAGTCTAATCTTGTTAGCGCAACAATACGAATTTGCCGACGAAATACAAAGTTTGAAATTGCGTGGTCAAGTCGGTAAAACTAGCAATTTGCGCTCACTACTTCCTTTTCTTGATAATCACGGTGTAATTAGGGTCGAAGGTAGGTTAGCAAATGCACCCGTTCCTTATGCACAAAGGCATCCTATTGTATTACCAGCGAGACACTCCTTAACCAGACTAATTATTTTAGATGAACATTATAAGCATTTACATGCAGGTCCTCAAGCTCTATTAGCAGCAATACGAACACAATTCTGGCCAATCCGGGCACTATGCTTAGTAAAGGATATATTACGAAAGTGCATTGTTTGTTAAACCTCCTAACCTCCTATATTACAACAGCAGATGGGTGACTTACCCACAGTGCGTACGACCACAAGTCGACCATTTTTAGACGTAGGGCGGTGGGCTCTATATATGTATCTTCGTATGTTTTACAACTCGTGCAGTTCACATAGAATTAGTGACAGATTTAAGTACATCAGCGTTTATTAAAACCCTTCAGAGATTTATAGCGCGTAGAGGAAAATGCGCGAATATATACTCTGATAATGCGAAAAATTTTGTAGGCGCGAATAATGAGCTAAAGGAATTCGCCGAGGTTTTAAAGAATCCAAAACATCATACGAAGATTTCGGAGTTTCTGGCTGAACAGTCTATCAAATGGAATTTTATACCACCTCATTCTCCGCATATGGGGGGATTGTGGGAAGCGGCAATTAAGTCTGCAAAAACGCATTTACGAAAAATTACAAGGACCACACCGCTGACCTACGAAGAACTTTACACCTTATTAGTACAAATTGAGGCATGTCTTAACTCAAGGCCATTATGCCCAATGTCTAATGATGGTACCGACTTACAGGTGTTAACGCCAGGACATTTTTTAATTGGAGCACCTTTAACCTCCTTACCAGAAGCAGATATTAGTGATGTCCCAGTTAATCGTCTGACAAGATACCAATTACTGAATCAGATGCGACAGCACTTTTGGAAACGATGGTCTACGGAATATTTGACTCAACTTCAACAACGCATGAAACGGACCCATCCCTCGAACGTCAATATAAGGATTGGCGCATTAGTCTTGCTACGAGACGATAATGCACCTCCATGCAATGGCGACTAGGATTCAATTATTCATATATTTTATTTAGTTATAATTTCAAATTGCGCGATATTTTAACATCTAGTCTAATGTACTAGCGCTACTGTAGTTAGTTTCTTTTTTTTATCGCCATCACAAGAGCGCTGAAAAAAGGGTTGTACGAGCATGTCGCCACGCGGTATTCACCTTCTTATATAAAGATATTTTTGAGTTTATTAAAGGCAATTACATTAAATAAAGTGATTGAATAAATTCTTTTTATCTCACGAGTTTCCTTCACACGAAAAATAGGTAACAATAATATTAGCATAAAAATGTTTAATGTTTTATATAAGTTAATGTTTTATATAGTTTAACATTTATTATTTATATTTCTAATATTATTGTATTAGTTATTTAAAACTACATATGAAATTAACAACAAAATAAAAATCTTCATAAATTAATAAAAACATTTTAATGATTCTTAAAATATAAATATAAATTTTATTTCAAGCCTAAATTCTGTAAACCTTATGTGTTTATTTGTTATGATATGTGTTACATCGACATTCTAAGGCAGCCTTATATATTTAGCCTTTATTATGATGTGTGTCACATCGACATTCTTAGTTCTCGATTACCTCTCGAAGCGGTAAGATTACCATAGTAGAGATATAAGGGTGGTTAAGATATAACAATATTAACGCTCATGAAACAACTGTAATTAATTCTTCTAAAAAAAAGGAATTATATTATAATTGGCATAGATTTTTAATATACAAGGTAAGTCGCTAAAAACAGTATATTATATATCCCTCTTCTTAAGAATACATAGAAGATATGTAAAACGCAATTAATAATAAGGTATCAACGCGATGAGCACATCTTAATTTTCTTAAAATTATCTTTTTTCCAAAATTGCCGACATTTTATTAACAATTTTTTATTTCATTTGTACTTTTTATAGTTTTCCTATTTAACAGAATTACATGTTTTTTTAAATTCTGTACACCTAACAAGAAGTTTAATTTTATTTATTATAATAATGTTGCGAAATGTCCTTGAAATCAAAATTGTGATTAAGCAAAGAATTTTTTAATATTTAAGATTATATTTAATCTGCTCATTTTTAAATAAATAATAGAAAATTGGATAATATATTACAATGTTAGAAATTACAATGTTTATTATCATGTACACGTTTAAATTATTCCATATATTTTTTCGTAACGATATGAAATCAATAATTTGTGTGCAAGGTTTTTTTAAACTCGATTGCTGATACGATATACTTATTCAAATGAATAACGAACAAACGATACTTAAATGTCTATTTTTTCGTTGTTAAAGAAATAAATATGATATATAACACATATTAATAGAAACGTATCGTGTTCGATCAAGTTTGTTATATATCTGAAGACATACAAATATCAAAAAAAATTGAAAGAAATTAAATTTTCCGTTGATTGGTTCTGTGTGACTAGTTCACTGAGGATATATCTATCTAAAAAATGAAACAACAAATCTTGAAAATAACATGTTGATAAACATAGGTTGTCATCTATCACAAAAATATTTATCGTATAAAATTTCTTATTACTTAAGGAAACTAATTCTTTTTCTCGAGAAAGTTGATATTTCATAGATTTGTTTGCTGTAAATTTCATTGTCTAAATTTTATTTTATATTTGTCTTTTTTTCAACAAAGAAAGTTATCGCAGATACTTAAAAAAATTGATATGACGTTTCTAAGACTGCTACTTTATGGCGTTGTCATATTTATCACCGCAACAGCACTTTCTGCCGATGAAAATAGAGAAGATATCATCGATAAATCGATTACAAACAAAATCAAAGACTATACGGATTATGTAAAATCAAAGGATTACGACGTCAAGCTAATACCATATTTCAAAGAAGACAAAGAAAGAGATGACATATACATAACGTTCAAAACAGATATAGAAGAGTATCAAGCAAACGATAGATTTGTCTTCTACGGCGAAATTACTGCCATTATTCATATCTTCCAACCAACTACAAAACTAAGATTAAGTTCATCGAATTCAATTCGCCTTTTATCTGGAGAGTTGACTCAAAAAAGTGCTGTTAATATTAGGCCAGAAGACTATTATCATTATTTAGCGGAGAAAATTGAATATAATAATATAACGCAAACTTGCGATCTTCATTTCAAAGAAGAATTATCACGTGGAAATTATACAGCTAATATAAAATTTCTTAATGCAATTAATATCTCAGGAGAAAATAATATTTTTTTAAAAACAACATATATAAATAAATCAGAAAATGTAATGTAAGTAAATGTTAATATATTAAAAGCACACTTATTAAACATTATTTATTACTGTTTTTTATAAGACATGTTTGTTTCATTCTATTATTTCCGTTATTAAATAGTACATACATGGTATAATACTTTTTGACGTATCATTGATATATGTTAGCGATTGTTTTCATATCACCAATAATTAAAAGTTGATCGTTATTTGAATTAATAGCATTAAAATATCGTAGATCATGGGACAAAACACATTTCCCGATGGTTGAGGTTCAACGATTGTTCCCATGTTGGGACAATCCGACAGTAAGATCCACTTTCAACGTTTCCATAAAACATTACTGCAGTTATTCAGTTTTCTCAAATATGCCGATAAAGGAAATACTCAAATACAAATTAAATAATACAGAAATATGTATGCAATGGACGTACTTCGACACTACTCCTTCTATACCTGCTCATCTCGTGATGGTTATGATTTCATCAATGCATTTCTTTCCCAATTATGGCAAAGATAATATCTATATCTGGCGCAATCCATATTCAGACGATATACAATTTGCGGAAAGAGTTTCAAACAAAGTCATAATGAAGTTGAAATTTGAATGGTTTAAGTCTCTTAAGAAGTTGAAGGTAAAGATTCCGAACCTGCAACTTGTCGCAATTCCAGGTTTTCGAAATGATATTAATATGAACTTCGGTTTCGTTGCAATAAGGTAATAGAAAAATTAGAAACAAATAATCCATTAAAAAACAATTTTTTAAATCAAAATTAGATATACGCACGCCTATACATATTTTAAATTTAGAAATGCATATATTTTTATATTGATATATAAAATGATTTCTTAGTAAATAATCATATATGTATATATAAAACATGTGTAGTACGTCACATTGCATAATTAGTCTGTACAATAACTTTTATCTTATATCATTTATATTAGATTCAAAAAACATTGCTATTTTTACATCAAGAAAAACGTTAAGATTATTATTATATATGCGATCTTAGATTTATTGTTTAAGTCATAAATTTGATTCTTATCCTTTTAGAGAAACAAGTATTATTTACGATGAAAATCTACATTCTGTTGCGCATAAAATAGAAGCAGCAAGGTTGATAGCGCGTGGAATAACATATCAATGGTTCGGTAATTTAATTAATCAACCTTGGATGTCTGATTTGTGGTTAAGCGATGGTCTTACTACATTGTTCGAAATGGAAGCTGTGAATGCCATCAATGCTCTCGAGGTTATTATGTATTCTTAATATATATATTTAAAGCTGAATTTTTTTATGCAATTAAATAAAATGCTAGATATCAACAATATAAAAAATTTTCAAACTATATATTTTTTTCAAACTATTTATAATATTATTATAATACTATTTATACTATTTATAATATAAAGTGTTATAAATCTTTTTCATATATTAAAAGACTACTGTACGCTGATTGTTGGCACTTTTGAATTGTTATAAATTCTGCAATATAATAGTAAATTGACTAAAAAATGATACACAAATTGAAATTATAATAAATTCAACAATAACACTAATGCATCCTATTGGTGTGAACATTTCCTTTGACTATATAATTAAATATTTACTTGATTATTAAAATATTAAATCTTTCCTTTTTAGCATTACACAAATTCGGAGATATTAGATTTACTCATAGTTCAGTTTCAATATGAATCTCTCCAATTGGATGATTATAATTTTACGCAGGCTCTTACATCAGAAATCAGTTATCCTGAAATAAATTCGCTTTTCTCTTATTCCCGTTACATTAAAGGTAAAAATCAGTAAATACAATTAAACAATCGTTTATAAATTTTGAAACATGAAAGTTATAAGAAAATAGAAAAGATTAATAGTATGGAAATAATACTACTATTATCTGCAATTTAATAATATATTAATTTTACTCTGATAGTGTAAGAGAAAAATAATATAATTACAATTAAAAATTAATCTGTATTTATATGCAATTATTTTTATTTATTAAAAATTACAAATTTATAGACATTGCGATTTATATATTTAATATTAATTTAACGCCAAGTTCTTTAATAATTTTGTTTCTTTCTAATAATTTGTGGCTACATCGCACATAAATTAGCGCTTAGAACTATTCTCGATTGTACTTACATCGCGCAGCTGGCTCTCATTAGCCTTTTTATTATTGTTTTTGTGACCTATTTAGAGCCTTATTATTGTATATTAATTTAAGTTTATTTAAATCATACAACTAAAATTTATAGACTGCAATTTCTATATTTAATATTGTTTAAGTTTATTTAAATCATACAACTAAAATTTATAGACATTGCAATTTATATACATAAATTGTTTGGCTATTTAAATCATGTACATAAATTACTCTTACATATGATATGAATTGTAGCACCTTTAATCTTGCGCATGTTGCAATATTTGGTTACTAAGGAAGTGTTTTGGAAGAGTGTCCACCGATATTTAAATATGCAGTGAGTAATATGTCATTATATATATGTGTAAAATTTTTGTCAAACTGCTTTTTCTTTACCTGGTTGATAATCTTCTTTTGAGAAGACAGTTGAGCATCGTCTTGTCAACACTCGACGTTGGTTCTAGAAGTAAGAACCAATCGATTGCTACTCAACGGTTGTGTCTCCTGAACACACCCAATATATATTAAAAGAGAGACAGAGAGAGTTAGATTCTATTATAAAAATTATTATTGCGAACACAGAAACACAAATAATTAGATAATATTATAATAAATGAAAAAATATTAAATAAACGAAATATTTTGCATTCTGTTATTATTGAATCCGTGAGATAAATTCAATTTTGTTTATAATTTAATTATTACCTAAACCGATACGAATGTAGATTGTTTTGTAAATCCTTACATAGCATAATAGCACAAAATCACAAACTATTGTCAGTCTAAAATGTTATGATTCATAAAATATATGTTATGCCACAATTTACATTTTTCCCCTTAATATTTACAGTTATTTAAAAAAGATGTATATATTTAGAAACATTTCTCGATAAATCCTCAGAAGGATAACAGAATTTTAAATTTATAGTCACAATATTTCTTTAAAAATTCCGTATGAGATGAGGATCTCATAATATAAAAAAATTATTTGCTACAGGATACTATCGCGTTAATTACGATAGTGAAAACTGGCAAAGAATTGCAAAATATTTAAACTCTAGAGAATATATAAAAGTACATGTTCTCAATCGTGCTAAAATAATCGACGACGCATTTCATTTTATGACAATACAACAACTCGATTCTTCCATATTCTGGGATTTGACGAGTTATCTTGCACAAGAGACAAATTATATAGCATGGTATCCTATGATCAAAGCTATTGAATACATGTCGAGAATCTTTCGATTTATAAATATAGATGAAAGAATCAATGATATCAAGGTAAATAGTTAGAGCTTTCATTAATTGAAAAGGTGGGAAAAGTATTATAAATTTATTTAACTTTATTTAGATAATAGAGTATATGTAACTGAAAAAAATTTGGTTATTTTTTTTCATAATCTTATTTGAATTAAACAGAAATTTTATATATTTGAATAAAATAGGAAGTTTATATATATATA